CTTCTGAGGGCAATCTGTTCCATTGGTTGATTGTTCTTACTGTCAGAAAGTTTCTCCTTATTTCCAGGTTAAATCTCTCTCCTTGTTCAGTTTCCATCCATTATTCCTTGTATTCCTACAGACGCTTTAGAAAATAGCTTGACTCTCTCCTCCTCTCTGGGGCAGCCCCTCAAATATTGGAAGGCTGCTCTCCTGTCTTCCCTGGTCCTTCTCTTTACTAGACTAGCCAAGCCCAGTTGTATATTTTAGCCTCCAGTCCCCTCATCATCCTGGTTGCTCTTCTCTGCCCTTTTTCTAAAGTCTCAACATCTTTTTTATAATGTGGTGACCAAAACTGGATGCAGTACTCTAGGTGTGGTCTTACTCAGGCTTTATAGTGGTATTAGTACTTCCCTTGATCTCGATTGTATCCCTCTGTTCATACAATTTAGCTTTTTTGGCGGCTGCTGCACACTGCTGGCTCATACTTAGCATAGGTGTACTTTTGGTTTTTCTTGTCTAAGTATAAGACTACTTTTTTGTCTACATTGAATTTTATTTTGTTAGATATGGCCCAGTGTTCTAGTCTGTCAAAATCCATCTGGATCTTGAGCCTATCTTCTAGGGTGTTGGCTATTCCTGCCAGCTTAGTATCATCTGCAAATTTGGTAAGTTCCGCTTCTATTCCTTCATCTAAGTCGTTAATGAAGATATTCAAGAGTCCTGGGCCTAAGACGGAACCTTGTGGCACCCCACTGCTTACTTCCCTCCAGGTAGACTTAGACCCATTAAGGACTACTCGTTGAGTACGGTTTGCCATCCAGTTGTGAGTTCATCTAGTGGTGCTGCTATCTATTCCACTTTTTTCTAGCTTACTAAGAAGTAGGTTGTGGTCTACTTGCTGAAATCTAAATATTAGTTTATTATATACGTATGTTATTTGCTATTATTTATATAATATTTTGTAATGTGTATGTATGTATGTATGTATGTATGTATGGCTTATTATATAGTTTGAGAGATAGATAGATAGATAGATAGATAGATAGATAGATAGATAGATAGA